TTTTTTATTTTTAATCAAAACAACTTTTTTCTTTTTTAGTCACTTGTAGGATATAATAACACGTATTTTCGTTTTTGTTTCATTAAAAAACTCGTAAAATTGACTGAGCTAGCGCGAGTTGAAGTAAAAAAACAATTAATTTTACGTTTTCAAAAAATAATTTTTTTTTATATTTAGTAATTATTTACTTTAACTTTTCATTTTTTTTCTTAAAATGCACTGCCAATCACAATTGTGCGAACACTAATTTTTTGAATAAATCAAATCCATAAAATGTAAGGAAACTAAAATTTTTCATCTGATTCCTTTAAAAATGATAAAATTATGCGAAGAGAAAAAAATTGAAATTTAAAATTACCCTTGGAAAATAATTTTGTTAATATTTTTATAAAAATTATTATTTTCAATTTTCCATAAAAATTTGAAATACCAAAGAATAATAAACGATTCTTAGACTTATTAAAAAGCTAATTTTTAATAGAAAAAGAGTTACTACTGATTATTAACTTGTAATCTTTTTCTTAAAGAAAGCAAATCTTAAAATTTTTTGGTTTTTTTATACTAAAAAATTGATTATTCATCAATTAAAAAATTATTTTAAACTTTTTGGATACAGCTTTGACAGCTTGCATTTTTTAAGAAAAAAATTAATTAATTAATATTTGTTTAACGGGACTTTCTGGTTTAGGATTGACAAAAAAGGCACGTTTTAAAACTTTTATTGTAAGAAAAGTATTAAAGAAATTGTAAAGTATTTTTGGAAGGTAAAGAAAATTAAAAAAAAAATGTTGTGTGTATTTCGTTTAATTTAGAAGCTGTAGGTGGCATCTTCCAAAAGGCACCTTTTTCGTGCACTTGTTTCCGGACAACCTGTAATATATAAATTTAAACGGAAATCTCTTCATAAGGGTTTATTCTCGACAATAAACCTAAAAATCGATTTTTTTGTACATTTTTCTCAAAAATTCGCAGAAACGCCGTGTTTGTGGGTCAATTTACCCCAGTATAGAAAACAGGGGTTAGAATTATGAAATTTTAAATATTTATTCTCTAGTTTTTTAAATAAGGAATCGAATGATCTTTGGTTTTTTAAAATCGGTTCGGTAGATTCCGAAAAAAGCCGTGCACCAAAGAAGGCACCTTTTGGAAGATGTCACCTACAGCTACGAAATTGAAATAAATATACTCAAATATTTTTAAAACATGATCTCTACGTAATGTGCAACAATGTCCAAAAAGTATTTTTGCAATTTCTTTAATACCTTTCTTACAATAAAAGTTTTAAAACGTGTATTTTTGGCAATTCCTAATCCGGAAGTCCTCTTAAAATAAGACTAAATTTTTATAAAATATTAAAACTAATACTTATTTAAAAATATCTAAATACAATATTCCAACTATCACGAAATCTAACAGTCGAATGATGTGAAATACACCGCATATTCTCGCTCTGCTACAAGCAAGGAAAAAACTTATTGTTCCTAAGTTTCGCTGTATTGTTCATTCTCCAAATTGAAACCTTTCATTAAATTACACTATAATATGAAATAAAAAATTTGTCAAATATTTACCTATATTTAAATATGTGTGTATACTTCATTTGACTTATATACAATTTTGTTTCGGAATTATTTGACACACTTTTTAAAAAATAAATAATAAAATACATATTGTAATATAACAATATATCACTGGATTAGTAACAATTTAAAAAAAGAGAATATGCCATTTTTCATTTTATGTTTTAATGGATTTAAAGTATTTAAAATCAACAAGTTCTCACAAGACAGTCTCTGATATGCATGAAAAATATTTCTTCTCACAATGTTAAGAATATTCATTAATTTTTTCAAGTTTCATGTTGATAATTTCAAAAATGTATTTTATTTGTTGAGAACTTTAAGAATTTTTGAATAAAAATTAATCAATCTTATCATAGTGACGAAAATGCAAGTTTTTCGTTTCTCAAGTTTTAATTAGTTCGTAATATAAAAAAAATAATTTTAATCATTTTATATTGAAGAAAGTGGCCGAGAAGCAAAAAAAAAGCAATGAGGAAAGTGGAGATTTGTTTTTTATGCAAAAATATAAAGAATCGCATAAGAAAGAAACCCTAACAAATACAAAAGAGAAGGAATCAACGGTAATGTTAAGAAATTAATATTTTTATTTCATAAAATAATATAATATAATAAAATAATAATTTTTTTTGTTAGTATAGGGTCAGTTGGGGTAAATGGGGACAGTTGGAGTATAATTTACAGTTTTAAAATTAAGTTCAACGTCAATATTTTAACCTCAGATCACCTACACTTTATGAAATTTTCTAACTTGTAGGGTAAATGGGGACAGTCAGTTTCATGCGTTTGAAACTTATCTAAATTTCTTTCTGCTGCATAAAATTAATCCTGGGAATGTAAATAACAATTTAAAAAAAAACCTGCAAATATTACCTTTTAAAGGAACAAACTTACGTAATTTGTGAAAAATAGGGATTTTGTTTCCATTTACCCCAACTGACCTTAACTTACAAGCATTAATGTGCAGTTTTTTCTTGAATTTCAAATTTTTATAATTTTTTAGTACCTATACCCAATTAAAAAGTTACTAATGGCGCAGTACTGGCGCAGTACTGACAAATACTGTCGCAGTACTGGCACCCAGTATTGGCGCCAGAGTTGGCGTAACTTTGAGATGATAACATTTTACCAGTATTGGCTACCAGAGTTGGCACCAGTATTGGTAACCACTACTGGTTCAGTACTAGCCGAGTACTGGCAGTTTTGTAATTTATTGTATGTATTCGAACAGAAAGCTTTAACTGTAACAGAGATAAGTTTCACTCCAGGTAATACTTTTTTGGTATACTTAGGAAAAAGTGTCTGAAATTTTTAGTAACCCAACACAAATTAAATATTAATTAAATTAGTCAACTAACTAATTAATATTTTATTATATCAAATCGAAAACACAAAGAATTTTCATTCCTTCTTATAATATATATTGCAAATTATTATTTTAAAAAATCAAAAAATGAATATAAAAATAGGTTTATTATAAAACCAAAGTTTTTATAATATATAAAAACAGTTCAGTAAAAATGAAAATGTTTATGAAATAAATATAATGTATATAATTATGCAATTAACTATTTAATTATTTTATTATTCACTTTAATTTATTAATTATTATATCAAACATAAATAAATTAACATTGAATTCAATTCAATTTACATAAAACAAAATTAGTTTACAAATTAACTTATCACAAATATAATAATTTAATAAAGAATGAATACTAAATTCCTGAAATTAGGTAATTATTAAAAAAATTATCTTAATTATTTTTAAATTAACATTAAATTTTTGTTTATAATTCACTTTTGGAAAAAAACTGAAGAATAACATCCAGAAACAAATTACAATAATTTTATTAACCATTGAAATATATAAGTTTGTAGGATTAACTATTTTTTATAATTTCTATTAAGAAAGGTTAATTATATATTTTATATTATTGATAATATAAGATTTGTGCAATTTTACTTGCGATTGTATTTAATTTTTTAAATTACATTTATATTATAAATTTTATTTTAAAAAATATTAATTTTTTATGAACAAATTTATTTATTTTTAGTTTGATCGTTTAAATTTTTTTTTGGTTTATTGCATATCTGAAAACAAAAAGAAAATCTTGCAAAATGTTTTAGACTTGGTCTCAGGAAACTTTTTGTTTAAATAATTTTACCCACAGAAAAGCAAAATAAAGTACATTTTAATTTTGACAAATAAAATCAAGTTGAAAAAATTTTGATGAACAAAATATTTAAACAAAAAGATTCATCGGGTTCACTCTAGAACTTTTTGTTAACTAGTATTAATCAAAAAGAAAATCTATTTGAGCCAATACTGCCTCAATATCGGCTCAGTACTGGTTTGCCAGTATTGGGAGGGTGGTACTGCACCAGTACGGATACAATGAAAATACCAGTACTGGTTCAGTACAAACTGCCCAGCCTCGGCAGCCAATACTGAACCAGTACTGCGCCAGTAGTCAACTCTGGTATAATACTGAAATTTTTGGTTGGGTAACTTTGACGGTTTGCATTCATAAAAAATCAAAAATAGGATAATTTTCAATAGTACTATAAAAGTATTTAAGACCTAAATTACAGATGGTTGAACGTGAAGAATTTGCTGCTTTCGTGACTGACATGAATGAAAAAATGTCAACTTTAGTCGAAATGAATAGACAGCAGGGAAAACAGATTTCTATTTTGAACAAAAAACTAGATGATTGCACAAATAAAATTTTGGATGCAATAACTGAACATAAGCTTCTTCGTGAAACTCATGAGGTACTAATTTATTATGCACCCTCATAACATCCGGATATATATTTAAATTAAATAAATGAAGTTTAACTATTTAATCGTTTCACCTTTACTATATTTTTAAGGATTGTCTAGGTAATGATGCGCGGTAAGGGAATTTTTTTTCCAAACTTAAAAAAATATCTGTGATAAATCTTCTCCAAACTTTTTCATTTTTAATTATGCGGTATTTTCTTCTTATAAACAAAGACTCATATTTTTGTCTCAATTAAATCTCTCTCTTCTTATAAATTATAAGATTTTTGCAAATTTCCAGAAGAGCTTATATTAAATTGCATAAATATGTTATTATATTTCTAAAAAAAGCATATGGTAAAAATTTGTTTTAAAAATCATGACTTCTGGAATTGACCTTAAGAACAATGTCAAAATTTAATAAGTTAGTCCCATTTCCGAATGACAATCCTTAAATAAATTGAAATTCCTAATCTCAGAGCTAAGCCCTGTCCGAATAAATTCGGATAATTGAGATTCCATTGTATTTTTTTTGGCGATAGTACTTGTCTACAGCATTTTTATATTCTACATAAATAAATATTATTCTATATAACTATCGTATGTTATTTATCTGTACAGATTATGGAAGGAGTAAAAATAGAAAAACTATGTTATTTGAAAGCGCAGCATGCGACATCCCTTTACAATAGAGTAAAGTGGATATCAATGGGATATTGGGAGGATAACCAGCACCAATATCTCTACATAAATGACTGCGAAGTTACAAATGGAGAGGTTAAATTTATAACTCTTGAAGATTGTAATAATATATTAAGTATGTATAAGTATATTTTTCTTGTAATTACTCAAATTAACATTAGTATTTTAATTACAAGAAATTGTAATAATTATAGTCATTTTATATAAATACAGGCATCGGATTACACGACTTTTTTCAAAAATACGATTTTCAACTTATTTAAATAGGATGTGACTTTTTCGACATAGTGTACTTTTTGTTACAAAATTTTTAAACAAAATATGTCTTTTTAGTATACAATGCAGATCTTCTTTATTTCAATTATTTAAAAAATTTTAACTCAAATTTTTCTATAAATTAAGTATATTTAATAATTTAAATGAAATTCTTCATAAATTTAATTATCTTTAATTATTTTTCAATTAAAAATTTTATGAAATTCAACAATTGTTTACAATTTTCGAAAAAATGAATTAAAATTACAAGAAATTTTAATTTAAAACCTTTAAAATTTTCCATTTAAAAATTTCTAAAATTTAATAATTTTAATTATCACCAAAAAATTTTAGTTCAAAATCACTTGATTTCAATTATTTTCAAAAATTTCAATTTAAAACCTTCTAAAATTTAATTACTTATAAAAATATCAACTTTAACGCTTCAAAAATTTAATGATTTTTATAATATTCTTCAAAAATTCAATTACTTGAAAGTATTTTTCAATTAAGAATTTTCGAAATTCAATTTTTGTTTTTAATTTCTAAAAAACTTTTCATCTACAGAAATTACCGAAATTTCAATTAAAAATAACTTCAATTTCAATTAATTTCATAATTGTGAATTATAAATCTTAGACAATTCAATTACTTTTGAAAATGTTATCCAAAATTATTTGATGAATTATTTTCAATTTTGTAAAATTTAATTATTGTCTAAAATTTAACAAAAACTTTTGAAATCAATTATTTTTAAAATTCTAACTATAATTCTTCCAATGTTCAATTATTTTTAATAATTTTAATATTTCATTAAAAATTCAATTAATTAAAAAAATTTCAAATCAAAAATTGTATTGTCAGAATTTTTTTTACAAATTTATCCTACTTAATTAAAATTTTTAAAAATTACTTCTTCAATTGTGAAATATTCGAAAAAAATTTTCTTGTTATAATATTCCTGTAGGATTATTCTTATTAAGGAATTAATAAAATGTATTAAATATCTAACAACATTAATTATGTAAAGTAAAATACTTATTAACTAATTAAATTTAAAGAAATAAAAAAATTGACTTTTTCTTAATGTGAATCGATTAAAACTACTTCTTTTGTACTTAAAGTCAATCCGAGACCTGTAAATATATACGTTATAAATTAATTTAAAGTGAGAGACGGAGGCTAAATTATTGTCACATAATATTTTATAGCTGTAAAAAATTGTTTTTTAATAAAAATTTGATATTTTAAATTAATTTGTCGCAGTTTAACATTATTGCTATAATACTTTTGACAATAAGAAATAAAAAGTCTGGTTAATCAATTAAATACAAACATAATATTTCTTGGAACAAACGTTTATAATACATATATAACAATTTTTTTGCACATTGTTCAATTTAATAAAAAAAACTTAAGTATATAATAATAATACTTGAAAATAACTATATGCGTAATAAAAGGATAACCTTTACATTTTCAAAACTTTAATTGCAACTGACTTTTGCATAAAAGCATTATGTAACTGAAATTTAAACACCCTCTTGAATTTTAAATCAATCGATAATGTGTGTCTTTCAAAAATAAATTATTTTAATTAATTAAATTTTCAGAAGTAGTTAAAATGCTGCAACAAGGAGATTGTATGTTGCCCGGAAATAATGATATATCTCTCAGAAAAATTCGGAGTATAATTAGCCAAGTTTTTCGAAATATTAGAAATTCTATGAACCAGAGGTAAGTACTAAAAATTAGTAATTTCATGCATTCTTTATTTGTAAATGTAAATTTTTATTTAATGGACCAAAATTTTAGTAGAGGTTTTAAAACTACTTTTGAAGAATTTTTGTTTGATTATAAGAAAAATTATTTTTAGAACAATTAATTAAAAATGTATTTTCTATGTTTTATGTCAACTTTATATTTCAGTGTGTCTAGCGCAGAAGACGACAGAACCGAAGTTGACGAAATAGAAGAGGTAAATCCTCAGAACTTAATAGAAGAATAAGTTTTAATACTATTTTTGTAAAAATGTATTATTAAATATAAACGCACATCATTAAAAACGTGTAAAAATCTTAATGGGAATTTAATCTTTCGCATATTTCATTTATTAGATAGTAATAATCACATTTCTATTACTCTTAATTTCATTGAAGAAATATGCAAACATTTTGTCAAGATGACCAAATAATTACATTAACAATTAAAGGTTCAAATAAAAGAAAAAAATTTATAAGGTTAAATTAAATGTGAGGTAATATTAATTTTTTTAATTCAAGTCTCTTTACCGGGTACATCAGGGAGGAATACATCATTCATATCAGCATCTGAATATGCAGGATATCGTACGAACGTACTGAGGATATATTAGAGATATTCTAATTTCCTTGGACATATTGATATCTCTAGAACGTCAGTAAAATATTCTGAACATCCCGAAATAGTTTAAGAGAATGTACTTGCACAGAAATCACTTTTTTTCAAGCGGATTCCTTAATCATGAGTTTTAACGCTAATTTGACGATGACCCTTCGGTCAGAAACAATAATTGTATTCAATTACACTATTTCTGTTGTCCAAAGAAAAAATAGTAAGTCGTCTTTTCATAATTTTGAAAATTGATAGATCGTTCGATCAAACAATTTTCTCTCTCACGGAAAAATATTTAAACTACATTGTTTAAATATTATTAAATATTTATTTCAAAATGTGTTTAAATAGTAATCTTTTTTGAAACAAATGCAACTGTATATTAAACTTTAATTAAATTATTAATTTCATTTGAACTTCATTTTACTTAATAATTTTTTAGAACAAAAACAAAAATATAATAATAACCACGTTATAACTTTAAGGGGTTAGATCATTGTGACCGGTAACTTTTTTCGTACAATTTTTAATCAAATTAACTAAAAATTGGTTTACTTCTTTATAGTCAATTGAGCTAATCCGTCAGAGTAACTTCAACTGTAACTGAAAGAAGAAATACGAAAATTATTAAATGCAAAAAATTGGTCAAGTGCGAGTTACACTCGCTTACCTAGTGTTCCGTTCACGATTTTTTAAATTATTATGTATATTTTTAAAAAAATATTTTTTATTATTTCCGAAATTTCAAGTTTTTGGAACTCTTTAAATCTGAAATAGCGACTATTCGCTTTGAATTAGTGACTTCGCTTATTCCTAGCGCAGAGTATGCAGCTGGGAATAAGTGAATAATCACTTATTGAAAATTCGCTTATTCCTAGCGAATAGTGGCTTATTGCTAGCGAATAGTCGCTATTTTAATCATACCAGAGTATGCAGCTACGAATAAGCAAATAGTCGCTAATTCAAATTTAGAGAGAATATAACTAAATTTCAATTCAATTCCAATCGGATTCGCTATAATTTTCTTTTAATCTACTCACATAAATACATATATGTATACCACGTTTGAGCATCCTAGCTCAAAAAATTGTCAAAGTTAAGGGGGGGCACGCTTTTTCCAATATTTAGAGGTTTTGAAATATAACTTAATTGAATTCAATTTCAATCAGATTCGCTTTAATTTTTCCTTTAATCTACTCGCGAATAGCATTAGTTTTAGGGAGGAGATATGGTTTGGTGGACGGACATGAGTGAAACCATAAGGGTTCCATCACGGTTCACTACCTTAATGAAACCCTAAAAATAACAACAATCTAGTAATAATAACTGTCATCAAAGTTTATTAATTTGTTTATAAACAAATTAAATAAATATGTACATCCTGTTTTGGTTAAATTATATATTTTACCTACTTTTCGCTTAACAAATAATATCGCGTAGATATTAATGTTAAATAATAAAACACAGGAATTGCAATAACATAAAAAATTTCTAAATCGATTTTTAATTTGAAATTTTCTCCTAACATTAATTTATAAAAATTGTTTATTATTCACGTAATATTTAAAAACAACTTTTTTAGATTTACTGAATGGTTTCTTTTAAAATTCATATACATGCATAGATACATTTTTGGAAAGTGGTGCATTAAAGAATATGATTTTTGGATTTCTGAGATTTACAAATAAATAAATATTTAACTTATTAATTAAAACATTTAAAAAATAGATATTTGGTTTTTTTGATATTTTCTACATTTATTTTTAAACTAGTTATTTATTTTAACTTACTTCTAGGGCAATGGTTCTGATACAGTGTAGAGTTTTCAACGTAATTAAAGTATTATTATTCACAATATTGGAATGTATAACGTTTTTTGTAAGACGACTTTCACAAACTGCCCTTCTAGCCACGAAGAAATTTTTATCACTTTATCTTCCGTTTCGGCGGATCTTTGAGGGTAAGAAATATACTTTTCTGTTTCAGGGAAACAGTGTTGTGATTGGTTATATTCATGTTGCAGAGAAATTGTGGGCGGTTGGTTTTATTTATTTTGGGTCCTCTAGAATTACATCATAGTCACACCCTCGAGTGCTTTTCACTTAAATACTTGTATTATTTTTTAACATTTTCTAAGTACATTTATTATTAAGATTTATATCTATAGCCAATTTTGCTAAAATTTATTTAGTAATAGTAATTCTAGCCAATTTAACTAAGACACCATCTAATAAATAATCAATGTATTATAACTATTGTAAAACTCTTAAATAAATACTGAAGACAAATAAATTTTTTGACTATATTTTATTTATGAAAAGATAAATATATGGGCAAATCCACAGAACCGGCCGATTTCATGTTACTCACATATCTTTCTATTTTAGAAGTATTATATTAATTATTTTCATACTTCAACCATTTTGTAATATCTCTGAGAACCTATTGAAATAAGAAAATTGAATAAATGTGAACCTTCTAGTCTTTTATAAAAAATAAAATCGAATTAAGTAACTTAAAAAATGAAATTTACGGTGTTACTCCAGGTATAAATTTTAATTCTTATAGGTATAACTTGTTCGGCATAGATGCGAACGATTCCAAACTGTGGTGAATTATAGTTTACTTATTGAAGAATGTTTTGAAAGTAATAAAAAATATGTGCTCTTAAATAAAAAGAAATGATAGTCGTTGAAAGTAGCGTTACTCATTATTTTATAATAATGAAATGTCTATACATTTTTGTAAATATATTTTGCGGCGATTATTCGATTTGAATTTTTCAAATTGGAGCTTATTGCTTGTGAACAGACGAACAAATGTATGTATCATAGAATAGAGTGCAATCAGAATTAAAGAAAATATTCCAATAATTATCACTCTATGTTTAAGCGTGAACCATTTTCAACATAGCCTTTTTTCAGTAGCACAACTACAGGATAAAATATGATGAGTTGAAAACATGTGTGATTATATAAAGACATTATTATAATTCTTGTATGCAAACGCCAAATTATATTTTCAATTTATAACGTCCAAAAATTAAAAATAAAAAAAAATTTATCGAAATTAAACTAGTTAATCGTGAAAAATGAATTATCCTTTCATTTGTTTTATTTTCAAAGTTATATCAAAATCGATGTCAATAATGTCAGTTTGTTTGTTAAAATAGTTAATATGAAAATTAGTAAGTAAACAATTTAATTTACAGAAATAAAAAATTAAATGCTAATAAATAAAATATATAATAAAATATGATAAAATATAAATAATTTATTTTTGATAATTAAAAAATTAATTATTTGTATTTTATCATATTTTATTATTCAAAATGTTTTGCACATATTTCAAATAATATATAAAAAAACAAAGAAATGCCATTTTAAATTATAATTTCCAGAAGAAAAATAATATTTTCGTTTTTTGCTTTTAACTCAAACGGCATTAAAATAAAATGAATCACGCAAGAAGATAATTGTTCTTGAATATATTTTAAAGAAAGTAAACCATAAATTAAAGGTGTGCTTGCTATTTGAAAAATTATCATCTTGATAAGTAAAAATCGGCCGGTTCTGTGGATTTGCCCATATATATGACCGGGTCTGAGAAAACGGTGTTATCGACCAAAAAATCAATTTTTTTATAGTGGTTTTTTATAGTTTAAGGTCCTAAAAATACAATCAACTAGTCTCGAATGTTAAAAATAATTTTTTGCATTTGTTTAAACAAATATAAAAAGAAAATTTTTTAAATTAAAATTAAAGTAATTATAAGATAAAAATCACTCTGTATTTTTGTTTAAAATAAAGTATAAAAAATTTATAAATTTATTAAAATTAACGAAAAATTTGACCTAAATCCTTGAAGATGATCTCCAGGTATACCCGTTATCGGCGACCTGGTTGTCTAAGTGTTAAGGATATTTTCTCAAACCTCAAATATGAATGCCAAAACCATTAAAAAAAAATTCGAGGAAAATTCTCGGCGATGATCCGACGATTCACAACCTATGTAGAATAAATTTGTTAAGTTTTTCATGTTTTAGGGCCCAAGTAGCACGGAATATTGTTTGAATGTTAAGGTGATATCAAGTGGGAATATTCTTGTGACATTCAGGCGATATCATAATGTCTGCTTCACAGGGCCATTCCACGGTGTTATTTCTGTGACATTCGTATGATACTGAGGGAATATTCCCGTGAAATTTTTGTGATATTGAGGGAATATCCCTGTGATATTGGGTGGAATATTCCTATGATGTTAAGGTAATATGCCTTTGATATTGAGGGAATATTCCAGTGATATTGACGAGATAATATATAAAATTCTAAAAAAAATTCTATTTTTTTCCAGTTATTTATTTTTTTATTTAAATATTCAAAACAATAAAAAAAAATTTTAGAATTTTATAAATTATAGGAATATTCTCTCAATGTCACTGGAATATTTCCTCAATATTAAAGGAATATTACCTCAATATCACAGGAATATTGCACTCTATATCACAGGGTTATTTCCTCAAAAGCACACAAATTTCACGGGAATATTCCCAATACGAATGTCACGCGAATATCATAGGAATATTCCCACTTGATATTACCGTGA